GAGCTACGGCTTCGAAGTCAAGCACTGAGACAACGTTGGTGATACTTGTTATAGTTTTGTTGATTGTTTCCTAATATATCTTTTTGTAAATATGTGTATTTTTAGATAAAAAATAAGCCATAACTTATTTATTTGTTTTTGTTTCATTACCTTATAGTTTTTGAACTATTTCAGCGATTTTAGAGGTTAACTAATTAATTGGCGTAAGTACTTAATATATTTTATACGCATTTACATTTATAAATACTTATACATTGTGCATTAAGTATGGAATGTCAACTATTCTAAGTTTTAAGAAAATGTTCTCATTATTTACTCAAAACGCGGATGACAGGAAACCAATGCTTTTGTGAATATTTAGGACCATACAATAAAATAACATAACATAACATCACGCCTTTTATCCTCAAAGGGGTAGGCAGAGGTGCACATTATGCCACTGTACAATGTAACACCCACTTTTCACTATTTATGTTATGAGTCCCATGTAATAGGGGGTGAGCCTATTGCCATATACCGGGCACAGTTCCAGACTCCGTGCTACTACTGAGAATTTTTTAAAACCCAGTAATACTTTGCCCGACCCGGGAATCGAACCCGAGACCCCTTGCTCGGCAGTCGCAATTGCGACCACTCGGCCAACGAGGCAGACAATAAAATCAGAAATACTCTAATTCAGTACCTAATTATCGTTCATCCTTATTTATCATCAGATAAAAATTAATATACATTTATATAAAATCCAATCAAAGTGAAATGACTGCACGGCTGGCGCGGTGGCTGGCAGCTGGCTGCCGCGCAACGTGTCGCGGGTTCGATTCCTGCACGGAACAATTCTTAGTGTGATTCACAAATTATTGTTTCGGGTCTGGGTGTCATGTGTATGTGAACTTGTATGTTTGTAAACGCACCAACGACACAGGAGAGAATCCTAGTGTGGGGCAACGTTTTAAAAAACAAAAATAAACAAAACAAAGTATCGATAACCTCCTCCTTTTTGGGAAGTCAGTTAAAAATCAAAATGCATACCTAATGAAAATCTTCATAAAGCAAGTATTTCTATGTACATATTTTTAATCACACTAACATCATAAATGTGAAAATTTCTTTGTTTGAATATTTGTCTGTCAATCACGCTAAAACTATCTACTAAATTGATTTCGGTGAAATTTGGTATACAGGTAGGGCATACCCTGGCCATAAGCTGACTTAGGTGATAGGATACTTTTTATCTCGATTAAATGCCCCCATGGGATAAAACAGGAATCATATTCTACACAGACGAAGTCGCGGGCAATAACTAGTTACAAATTATTATCTCGTAAAGTCATGGTTTAGTCGAGTGCCACAGTCGTGGTAGTCCAGAGGTTGAGGCACCCGTTTGTCATGCATGAGGGTGCGGGTTTGAAACCTTTTCCATGTTAGAAGAGGTCTCTTCTTAGCAGTGGGACAATTACAGCCTGATGGTGATAATGATGATGAAGAAAGGTTCTTGTCTAATTACCTACACCAATTTGACGCACACAAACAAGACGTGTGCAACGCTTATTAATTAGTATTGTTGAATTAAAGATTATAAGTAGATACTGACTTTGATATCTCTTCCTTGCCCTACATGTACCTACTTACACTCGGTAGTAAAGAAACGGAGTCACTTCCGTTTTTTCTTCTTAACTTTTCTAATACAAGTATTTTATTCATTAGGTACTTGCTTTATTCAAAAATAAATTATTTCAACTGATCAATACAATAAAATGTTTAAAAAAGAATCACACTTTCATTAATTGATTTTATGACCAACTTAATTTTAGTGTTTTCCAGCAATTTTTAAAAAATAAGTACGCTGTTTGACACTGAAAAAACCGTGACGTCACAATACACAATGTCGTACAAAATTCATAGAAAACTGTTGTAATTTATTATTTATTTTACCCAAACCGATTAGACTATTCACAAATTCACTGCACATTTGACATGATGACTAGGTTTGAAGTTGCATAACGTACTGTGGGTTCGATTCCTGCATAAAGAAATTCATAAGATATTGTTCTGGGACTGGGTATGGTGTAGATTTAGAATTTTTGTAAACATGCCAACGACAGGCGAAAATGTATTGTGGGGGCCATGTTATTTATTAGAAAGTAATTATAAAAGTGACTGTGACTCCTCTGGTGTTGTGGATGTCCATGGGCGGCGCTGATCGCTTACCATCAGGTGATCCGTCTACTCGTTAGCCTCCTATTCCATAAAAAAAATGAAACGACCAGTGAATAAAAATAAAAATAGTTCATATTCTAGAATACCACTGCATGGGCTATCGAGCAATAGGTGGCGAGTTCGGATCACGTTGCTCTGTTGATTACAACCTTGACCTAGCTCAAGCACTGTTTAGTTGAGTCATTGCACACAAAATAAACATAATTAGGTTCACTAGGTACCTGTGTAAAAATATAAAAAGCATTATCTACTATCCCATACTATTTGTGGGTCGTAAAGGTTTTAATCAAACTATCCAGGCGTAAGTTATTCATTGGGTATGCATTGTGATTTTTGCTGATAGAATGTTTGGACTCGATGTAACTCTAAAGCCAAGGATACATTAGGGGACGAATGTCCTGCGCCACGTGTTGCCAGTGACGTTGGGTGAAGTAGCGCGACGTTGCCGGTCTTTGGGCGACATGTCTGGCGACATCAACGTCGCAATGGTATGTCCAGTCGTTCGTTGTCGCCATATAAATCAGGTGAAATCAGCCAGCATCATTGGACATGTCGCCGATTCATGTTGACGATATTTGTCCCCCCCAGTGTAGCCTTGGCTTAACTATCATTAGTTCAGCCATGTGGAGACGCAGACTAGAATACACCACTCCTAATCTTCCTCCAGGTGTTATTGTTGCTTCACGTTTGTTTGACAGAAACAGGAAAGCCCTCTAGCAGACCTCTCTGATAAATCTGAACCTTCTAATGGTAAAATCTTAAAAAAATATTATATAGAGGTCTGGTATACGTGTCATGTTCGTGAACGGGCGCCGTCAACTGGGACTGGTCAGCTCCAGACTGTATTATTTATAGTCCTTAAGGTTATTTTCTTTTTCGATCTCTTTGACTGGATTTTGTCGTTACATTGTTCTCGCACAATCGAACCAACAAAACTATGTAACTAGAGAATTGTATTGTGAACCTGATTGAAAAAGACTAACCTATGAAGTTTCTTGCTCGTTCTTCTCCATAGGAATCTACACCTTGGAATAAGCAAAAAGCGTCATTTTTAATTTTTTGTTAATTTTCAAAAGTGCCTTTCTGGTCTAATTGAAGTACATGGATTTTGACTTTAACTTTGGCTCGTAGTCCTACCAGCATTGCAGTCAGTCCAAGTCCAACACTGAATTCCAGTAGATGAAAATTAAGCGCCTGTTTCACCACTTCCATACATTTATTCCTTCTACATGGGAATAGACTTTAGCATCATTTTTCAGTAGGCACTATACTAATCGTTGTTATAGGCTGTTATGTATTATCCTCTTTTTCTCACCCTTTAAACCTTCCTTGTACTTTTTAGAACATTTCAAGAACAAAATTAGCCAAATCGGTCCAGCCGTTATCGAGTTTTAACGAGACCAATGAACGGATATTAATTAGAATGGACAACTTGTATAAAAATCTATTACTGTAAGTTTTAAAGCGCCTGTAAGAATAGTAATCCGTCTCTCAGTAGTGTCATGAAGATTCCGAGGTTAAGGCTCTGGCATTTCTAGCGTGTGGGTATTCTCTATTTGTAATCTAGATTAGTATCTAGATTTGGAACCTGGCAAGTAGGAATATAACTTTTCCAAATTTTAATAGGTGTTGAACGAATCGGTTCCTCTAAAATGTTGCTAATCTCGTTTGTCTTTTGAGTTTATACCTAGACTGCACTGAAAGTGAAGAAAAATTCTATGAAACTTATCTATATTGAGTAGGTAATGCGTCGGATTCTCATAGACATAGATAAAAAGACTAGATTTTTTCATAAACTACATTGAGATACTCGAACATATATCTATTTTTACTTAGGTATGTTTTAATTTGGTTTCACTGATATACCGCGAATATAACGGCCGCTGCTTCGTTGGCCGAGTGGTCGTAAGTGCGATTGCCGGGTAAGGGGTCTCGGGTTCGATTCCCAGATCGCGCGAAGTGTTAGATACGGGCATTTAAAAAAAAATAACAACAGTAGTAACACGGAGTCTGGAATTGTGCCCGGTATATGGCAATAGTTTCACCCCCTATTACATGGGACTCAACATAAATAGTGAAAAGTGGGTGTTACATTGTTGTTAATGTGGTGTTAATGTGCATCTTTTCCTTACCCTTCGGGGATAAAAGGCATGATGTTATTTTATGTACACCGCGAGCACTCGTTACACAATGATAAATTATTAAATGATAGTCAAATCATCCATTTCAAATACACCCCATGCTCTTGTTGAATGGTTTGCAAGTTCCTAAATCACGAACCAAAACATTGAGGTACGTTGCTTACAAATTGCAGCTGATATAGCTAAGGTCTAGCAAATATTTATGTCTTCCTGAAACTCTTTCGAGATGACAATAGAATAATACAGGATATGAAGAATATAAACACAACGCATAACTTCCTACACGCCACTACGCGAGACAATGCCAATACAGAAGTTTCATAGTACCTAGTCCAGTAACATTAGTTACATACGGTCAATGAAACTCAATGAAGCCGGTGTCGGTGATTCATTTATAAAAAAAAGCATTTCACGCTTATTAACAGTGCGGTCGGCTTGCCCACAAGTTGCACAATAGCCAATTTTTTTCATTAACAGCGTCTTTGTCACCTATAACCTCGTCTGATAAGCAATTTGTTACATGGCTACAAGAAAGGTAGCAAACACACTCACGGACCTTTGTCTCTAGCCTAGATATAAATATTGAGCAACGGGCTAATCAAATTATAACAGATCGAGTTGTAGAACGATACACATCTCAACATGGCTAACACAGCTTTGTACATTCTACTGGCTGCGACCGCAGTGGCGGCGGTGCAGGTCAACTTCGTGCCCCCGGCAGCCACCAGCTACATCTACAGGAGCGACAACAACGGCCCTGCGACCTACATCAAACTGGGAGCTCCTGCGCTTCCCCACCATACGGCTCACAGCTCCTACGTGCCGCACCTGCCGGTCCTTCAACCTAAATTCCAAGCGATTGAAGCTATCGATCTGGCCCCCGTACCTCTACCTTATTTGGCTGCTAAGCCCATCGTTGTAGAAGATGCTGAAGAAAGTGATGATGACGATGATGATGACGACGACAGTGAAAGTTCCGAAGAATACGGTGGAGATGATTATGGACATGCCTTCGCTAAGGGTGGTGGCAGCAACTATGGTGAAAAGCATCACTCAGCGCATGGAGAAAAGGGAAGCAAGGGCTACCACACCGAGGATCATCATGCTAAGGGTGAAGCGGGAAACTATGGCAAGAAACATGATGAAGGTTACTACAAGGAAGCTGAAGGTGGTGAGAAGGGACATCACGACGTCGCCGCAGTACATGGTAAGCACTACGAAGGTGGTAAAAGCTATAAGGGTGGAGACCACGGACACAAGAAGCACTTCAGCAAAGGAGAAGATATCACTGGTTACCACAAGGTGTTCCACAAGGACGAGTTCAAGAAGGACCACGACTTCTATGACGTTGCTGATAAGAGCGGGCACTTCAACAAGCATGGACATGAGAACGAGCATCATGGTTCCGAAGAAGGTGGCCACGAGGAGGGAGGTCATCACGACTCAGCGTCCAACAAGGGAGGATTTGGAAAATCTGGCTTCCACGCTAAAGGTCACATTGATGATGCTGACGCAAGTCATTCTGCTGAGGATGGTCATGAAAGTCACTATCATAATAAAGCTGATTTCGGCAAGAAGGGTGGCAGTAGTCATGGCCAAGAGTTTGCTTTCGCTAATGACGATGACGAGGACGACGACGATGATAGCCATTATGATGACAAGGAATAAGTTCCGTGCTACCATAGGGATGTTGTAAATATCTAATATTATGTTGACTATTTAATTTTCGCAATAATTTTGTTATGTTTGATACACTCGATGATGATGCTGTAAATATAATTTTTTAATGCAAGCGAACGAATAAATGCCTTTAAAATAATGCGAGTTTTCATTATTTTTTTTAACTGTTTTTGTATTTCCTGGGCATAATGTTGAAAATAAATATTTGTAATGTTTTATTTCTACTCTCCTTACTGATATCTACAATTATATTTATAACTACAATTGTTTGGGATTTTAAGATGATTATAATATAAACGATTAGGTACGGAAGTATTAAAAGATAATAAAGTTTTCATTGTCTAATTTTCTAATCGATACCTATTTAGTTTCTAGACCCATTGAAAAGGTAGACAATTAGACACTACGAAGAAAAGTTAAATTCTTAAATAAATGTTCAAGTTAACTCGTCGAGTACCGGTTTTATAGACACAATTAAAGAACAATAGGTCGCGGTCACCGGTGACCGCTTGGTGTTTGACAGTTTAAGTTCCAATTTTTAAATAAAAGAAACTGCGTGTGAAAATTTGTTAGTTTTAAATACTAATTACGCAGCAATTAGCCCAAAATTAATACGGTATTATCATCAACAGCCTATAAGTTGCCACTGCTAATAAAATGCCTCTTCTCACACGGAGAAAGTTTGATCATTAATCACCACGCTTGTTGCAACCCAATGGTTGGCGATTTCAAACTTATAATTACAAATTATAAGTCCAGGTTTTCTTACGATGTTTTCCTTCACCGTTTGTCAGTAGTGTCTAAATAGTCTTAGAAAGTAAATATAACTCGGAAAAAGTCACACTGGTACTTGCTGTTGGTAGGTTTCGAATCCTCATGCATGAGAAGCGGGCGTCTTAACCCCTGGGCCACCACGACCTTATTATGGTATAGTTGTCAGCTATAATTACAACTGTAATTTAAGAATTATTTAATTATACGACCTTAATTTATAATTAAATCCAAGTAATTACTTACCTTGTCAATCAGTTTCCGTAATTTCCTTAAAATCCATTAGTACACTGCACTTGTATTAATTAAAATGGAATTAAATTAGCACAGAACAAAAGCATTTAATGAATTAATTCGAACTTACCTACACTTATTTTAAGGACTACTACACTGACCTTTCTTGTTCATGTTTTAAAGCATAAGACCTCATTTTATGAAGTGTGAATTTATTAAAATGTATTCGTATCGTTCGTTAGTGGTTATTGATTAAAAATATTGTACCTCAGTGTCCATCACTTGAAGAATGGCAGCGGTTATAGAATCATACAATAATTATGGGTTACTAAAGAATTTATGGAATTCATTATGATTGCTAGAATAATACACAAACAATATAGGTACATACACACATTTTTTTTCTTGGGAAAGTATGTAGATATTGTTGATTATACAGGGCTCTATTGGTTATCTGTTTTTCCTTTCATCTTCTACTTCATAACACAGTTTCTGAACTGTGTGACTAACTCTCGTGAATGGTCGACTTAACGCCTTTGTTTTTATAATTATGTAGATTATTATTATTATGTGCGATGGACTTCCAAGAATGTCTTTGTATTTCACAAAGAAATTCTTGAAAATCCAACGTAAATAAATAATTACCACTACCAGCTTCCGCCAATGAACGGGTGTTAAAACGCCGAGTAGGTACCTACCTGTAGAAATTTCAATAACATTTTTAGTGCATTCCGGCAATCCCCAAGACCTCGATACACGCCTCGTTTTCCTATTTCATAGCTTTTTTTGAGGGGGAAAATCATCCAAGACAATCGGCAAAGGTCACCGATTCTTGGTATATAGTATTTTTTTATGGCATAAGCCGGTAAACGAGCAGACGGATCACCTGACGGTAAGCAATCGGCGTCGCCCATGGACACCTGGAACACCAAAGGCAATACAAGTGCGTTACCGGCCTTTTGGGGATTAGGAGTGTGAGGATCGTTGGGGATTCAGGAATAGGGGATATTGGGGATGAGGAGGGTAATAGGGCCTCCGGTAACCTCACTCACATGACGAAACACAACGCAAGTGTTGCTTCACGTCGGTTTTCTGTGAGGCCGTGGTATCACTCCGGTCGAACCGGCCCATTTGTGCAGAAGCATGGCTCTCCCACACTTAATGTAACGACGATGTAACGTATGTCCCACCCACACGCATGAAGCGCTTCGCATCAAGTTTCCTTGTGCGTACTTCTAAGGCGTGGAAGACCTGGGTGCCTTCAAGGCCCGAGTGAATAAGTTGCTTAAGGGACGACGTGCTCCATCGTAGACCGCATCATGGCTTACCACCAGGCGAGATAGTGGACAAACGTCGGCCCATTAAATATAAAAAAAACGGGGTTCAAAAACCGACTTCAAAAAACCAAAAACTAATAACAAACAAAAAGTAAAAACTAAACAAACAAAAAATAACCATTATTAGTCTATGTATTGTCTATGTATATGTAGTCTATGTATTGCATTTATTTATATATGTATGTATTACCTATATAGTAATTATATCATATTATATGTTTGCATATTTGGGATATATATTTATTATATAATTCATTTTAAGACCCTATACCCTTAGTTATGTATTATCGACTATAACAATCATGTCTTCCCTCTTTAATATTTTATTACCTTAACTTCGTTATCTACTTCATACTTTCTTTTTACAATTTTGCACCTACCGCTTTAACATTCTGCACCACCCAATGGTCGACTGTCAGAAAATGCCTACGGCATTAACTCCGCCAATTTCACTGTATGTGCAATAAAGTTTTAATAAATAAATAAATTAGTACTGATACCGAGCAGACTGAACCCAGCCACTAATAGGTTAGAAGTCGGCATCGATCTACAATTTTTGAAAGTTTCTCTCGGTTTCTCTAGGATTCCATCATCAGATCCTGATCTCATAGAAACGGGACCATTTCGGGAGCATACCCATTCAAGCAAAACAAGAATTTTGGAAATCGTTTTACAAATGGAGCAGTAATTGGTGAACAAACAAAAAAAAACTTAGCCGAACGTACCTCCTCCTTTTTTTGAAATCGGTAAAAATGACTTCTCCCTCCTTAAGTTAGGTGAGAGGGAAGGGAGAGGGAATATCAGATTCTTACCGACTAAAAACCACCCCTTTCTACTCCTACTCTTCGAACCGGAGCCCCGGCAAACCGTTAGGCCTTCTGCAACTATGTCATAGCTTGCTGTGAAGTCCAGTCAATTACAATCGAAAAAGTTTTATTTCATTGGTCAAGTGGTTATTACTAGTAAGTGCGACAGCCTAACATTTTGTGTGCTCTATTTGTGGGTTGTTATAATTAGATATTGCCACTACTAAATAAAAAAAGAAAATAAAAACAGGCTTAGTTTTTTTAATTACTTGTGAAAAAGTAAATGAGGACAAAACCCAATAACATCGAACCCAAACAACTTACTGGTAGTAGCCGCTATCAAACCCATTAAATTCAGTTATTGAGACCAAATTTCTTACATCAGCGTAAATTCAAAGGTCAGTTATATAACGATTATGAATGAACAACGGTTTATAGCAAAAAATAACGTTACAAAGTAGGTAATGTTTAACTCAAAGCCGACCTTTTATGCAGATTATGTTGATAGTGTTGTAATCACTACTGAAGCCTGAAACTGAATTAATTGTTATTTTTCACGGATGACTCTTTGGTTGAGTAGTGCAATATTTTTCTTCTCTTTTACAGATTCTCAGGTTTGATTTCTGAGTCAGACAAAGTATGTCTGCTTGACTGCAAAGTGCGGTTCGATTTCTGCACGGAATTTCTCTTTGTGTGATCCACAAATTGTTGTTTCTGATCTGTCTGGGTGTAATGGCTATGAGAATTTGTATGTTTGTGACGATACAAGAGGAAATTATAGTGTAGTCACTACACTCGTAGTATATTCTATCTACTACACTATACTCGTAGGCCCGCGCTTAACGTTGCACTACAGTGTAGTACGGACGGTGAGCATGGGTGGCTCGCCACCCGACAAAAACCAGACCCGTGCGTGCGGCTCAAAGAGCCATCAGACCACCACGGATGGGGCCCAATAGGGCCGATGCCGATACGGAGCCACGGAGAACTTAACTGGTTACCGAGGCTCCGGCAGAAATGGGCTAATGATCTACCTTAAAAACCCACCCATGAGTGCCCACGAGCTACGATAGAGATGAATGAATGACTCCTAATTATGAATGTACTGGCCACACCAAGTATAGTATTTTGGAAAATAATAGATATTATCACCAACAGCCTATACAAACTGCTGCTGATATACTACTGCTGAGCAAAGCCTCTTCTCACACGGAGAAGGTTCGAGCATTAATCACCACGCTTGCTCAATGAAATAATAGATATGATATCATCTATATTCTACATTTAGGCAGTGCAATTGAACTATTCAATAAACAAATCGGTCATTATTTTGGTGTATTCGGAAATTGAAAGGAGATTGTATTCAAGTAATTAGAAAACGTATCATAAACGCCTTTTACATTCCTAAGATGCAAGCAGAGGTTATTCAATCTTTAGTAATGTACTACAGACTTAAAGAAGACGATAATCAATTCCTATAGGTACACCGATTTTGCCCCAATCGAACCCGAGACCTCTTATCGGCAATCGCGTTTCTAGTAGGAAGGAACCTAGTTGTTCTAAGTATAAAGTCACGCCTTTTAGAAGTGCGTAGAGGTGGGCAGAGGTAATTATTAAAAATGGTCAACCCAATCCCGGAAAAGAACCCAGGGCTCCTTAATAATCAGTCGCACTTCCCACGAATCAAACAATAATAAAGTCCGTATTATTCAACGAAATAAATTAATGTGAAAATACGTTTACTTTTCGGCAATCGATTCGATCGAATCATGCGCACAACTCAAGCAAACAATGGACAATAAAATTCAATAAAAATATTCGAATTGAAAAAATTGTATGAAAACTTAATGCATCGACACAACCTTGACCGATCTGTATCGTTGCACAGATTACGAATCTAATCGACTGTGGACAAACAAATACCGAATCACTCATCTCGAAGAAAAAACATCCTTGTCTATTAAATCTAAACAAAAGGCTATATAAGCCTAGCCAACGCCATGTATGTCAGTGTCGCAACCTACTTCGATTGCGCAAGAGTGGAGAAAAAAATAAGGACAAAATGCAAAAGAAAATAATGTGTTTTGTATTGACATTGACCGTCGCGCACCTCGCGGAGTCATGGCCGCGAGATGCTCCAGAATTCGAGATCTTTAACGCAGACTACTCCGACCAAGGATTTGAAAATGAAGAAGAAACAAGCAACCCTTTTTCCAAACTTCTAAGGGTTGGTGAAGTAGTGAATAAACCCGTCCTCATTAAAATCGACAAAGCCAAGGTGGTCAGCGCAAAGATTAATGGATCTAAAAAGAAGAATAATGATAAAAAAGGTGAAAAGATCAAATACAGTACTGGTGACGGTAATTCATTCTACAAGATAGGTGACTTGACCGATCGTGGCGTGTACGACGATACTGACATATACGCGTTAGCTAACGCCATCGCAGCCACCGCAGCAGTCATAAAAGCTAACGAGAACAGAACTTACAAAAAAGGCAACAAAACAAGAGGTTTCCATCGAGTCCACCACAAAGACGAATATAAGAAAGATCAAGAATTCTACGAAGATGATGAAACCAAAGGATCTATTAATAAAAACGCGTTAAACGTGATAGGGAAGTCAGTAGAAACGAAAGGAACGCTCAACAAAGGTGCCTTCAATCATGATTACCATAAAGGAATATACGGCAAGGACGGATACTTGGATAATGATTCTGCTTATAAACAATTCCTCAGTTTTGATGATTCACAAGGAGTCGATGTGTCCTTTTCTAATGAACTTTCATAGTTTTTCTGAAGTGATTTTTAAAATTATTTAGCTGTGGGTTGTAACAACTTGGTAGTGGTAACAATATTTATAGGTAGTAGTGTAGTGTTCAGTGCCCTATGGTTGTACTTATATAATTTATCAATGTTATACTTTGATACTGTCTATTTCTTAAAAAACAAATGAAAAAATTGTAGTGCTTATTAGTAGCAGTATATCAATGTAAATGTAAGTACCTATTTTTTATTTAAGTGTGTATTAGTCCTTTATCATATCAGTGGTATTAGTTGACTTTTGTACATTAAAGAGACAATATTTTATGTGTAAACTCAGTCAATAATGAAAAGTTCATTAAAGGACGTAAATACATGTGAAACTAATCGAGAACTCGAAACTCGCAAAGTAGATAGCTAGTTACAATAGCTACCTATCAACTTTTCATATTTCGCGGGCAACGACCTACTGATACTGAAGAAAGAAATTGTCATTAAAACCATAGAGTAACATTTTTTTATTTATTTATTGCACATCACAATGTGGTGTTTTAAATAGACAGATCATTATAAAAATAATTAAAAATTACGTTGAGTTGTAGTTTTTGTTATTAACTTAGAATAGAATAACGATTTTATAGTTTTCGTTTATTTTTAGTAATAAATGTTAGTGTACAGCACTATTAATAAAAACAGCCGTGTCTATGATTTTACAACTTGTCAATTTCAGCTGTCATTACTCGGTTCTATAGTCTTTGCACCATCGTTGAATGAAGTTATGTGTTTGTGTTAAATGGTTGTGAAACAAAGAGATTTATACGAAATAAATGAGGCTCGGTAGAGATTTACTGTTTAACATTACTCATGAGTACGGAAGAGACTCTGTTGAATCTCGATTTCGACAAACCAAACACAACAATTACGCCGCCCGATGACGGTGTGGTATCTTTGTCGAGTAGTTCGGAGGAGATTTGTTTAGTGCCAGAGGTCGGGTTCGAGGGCAACGTGGATTCGCCAGGGGTGAACAGAGAGTCGCAGCCGCTGCTCGGCGGCCGCGGCGACTTCGAGGTTTCTTTCAATCATTTTCCAGGTGAGACAACTTGTGACCCTTGTAACGACGCATTGAGTCATGTTCTCATTTTAATTGTTCTCATATGACTTATTGTCTCGTATTAAAACATGCATAACAGAGTGTTTAGGGATTTGTAATGTACAGAACACTTGTGAGACTTCGTAAGATGTGTTGTATGGCTTCCATGGACATTGGAAATCTTTCGTCTAGTAACATCTGTTCGCGAGCTAGTTTTGTTTATCTTGACGCCGTAATAAGTCACTTATCGTGCATGATTAGAAATTTGTATCATGTAAATGTTGAACCGCCTACCAAATTGCATGTTTTTGTGTGTTATTGATTGAACTAACTTCAGTCTGTAGCTAATTCAAAAAAAGTATACACACATAATTGTATGAATATAGCAACAGAATATTTTCAGTCAAGTGTAACGACTGTGCTGTAGTTTCAGTGCCAATGTTTTCTTTTGTTTAAATAAAATGGAAGGTCCTTTTGAATGCAGTAAGTGTTTTGAGAATATTTACACAGCATACAAACATATATTTTTAATTTTGATTACTGAAAACTGTGTGAAAACTCTTGTAAATGATAAGCCATATGGCAATTTACAGTTATGGATGTTACGGTATTGTTTCATGTTTTTCGTTTATGTTTTTATTTGCTTGTACGTAAAATGAAGTAAAAGTGGATTTTTGTACCATGGTTAAAGTACAATTTTGTGCATTATACCTTTTCAACATTGAAATATGTTAGTTTAGATTTGTCTATGTGGCACTGAAACTTCTGAAAACTGACGAAAGAGTTTGTTACACACTGAAGCACCAATTAACAAGATTGTGCATTAGATAAAGTAACTTCTTTGAGATTGTATCTACCTCCTTACATCCTGATATTTGGTAATAACATATGTTTACTTATTCTTATACTAATTAGCTACTATTTAGTAATATTTGTAAGCAATATCTTAGCGTTCCATTTGTACATAAGCAATATATAATTAAAAAAATATATAAATCATCACAGACCTTCATAGAATGCTGTAGAACAGGGCTGTCTAAACAAAGGCTCGTTTTCATGTGGCCAGTGACACCCATTTTAACTCGTCGAGTACCGGTTTTATAGACACAATTAAAGAACAATAGGTCGCGGTCACCGGTGACCGCTTGGTGTTTGACAGTTTAGTATTATAAATGCAAGAGTTAGTGAGTGTATGATATGATTTTTGATATGTATACAAGTTTTTTCTGTGAGTAAAGAATATAATGTTAAATGTCATTATACAACTGAAAACATTTTTCTGGCCCTCCAACTTTTGTAAGAAATTTAATTAGCCCGTGAGGGTAAATAGTTTCGATATAATCTTATTAACTCGTCGAGTACCGTATTTATAGACACAATTATAGAACAATAGGTTGCGGTCACCGGTGACCGCTCGGTGTTTGACAGTTTAGTATTATAAATGCAAGAGTTAGTGAGAGTTTGTGTGTATATGAGTATTTGTTACTCAATCTCATCAAGGTGAAGGGATCAGGATGAAATTTAGAATAGGGATAGATTCTGGTCTGGATTAACACAGAGCACTTTTTGTCAAACGGAAACTGAATGCAGATGAAGCCACAGACAGAAGCTAGTATAAACATAAATAATACTAACAACCCGCCCCTGCTTCTTGCGAGAGCAATATGCATGTATTATACATAAATGGTATGTAGTTTATGTACTAGGATACCTTTATACATATGTACGTACATTTATCACCCTCGTTTTTATTTATTTTTTTCGATAGATGAAAACTTCTTTTGAAACCTACTGTAACACTTCTCTGCATCACCCTATGGTTGGCTGGTAGAGAATGCCATTCGGCATTAAGTCCGCCATTGTATACAGTTGTACATAAAGTGTTTAATAATAAATAAATAATAAAAAACTTCCTTAAGAATCACTCACTCATATCTATTAAAAAAAAACCGCATCAAAATCCGTTGTCTAGTTTTAAAGATCTAAGCATACATAGCGACAGACAGACGGCAGATAGCGACTTCGTTTTATACTATATAGTGATATTGGTTTTCTAATTAAACTTGTGGTAATGATTAGAAAGTTGTAATGAAGATCATCACTCTAGGTCCTAGGTTTATTAGTCTAAACAGGCTGATCTCTTTTATCATTTTGTGTTAATTAATTGTTTCTATTACTACCTAATTATTATTGGAAGGAATTTCATACATACATAGTCCACATGTAAATAAACTCTAACCTTTAAATAATAAATAATGTCTTATGAAACAAATCAATTTTATTGTGTAATTTTTAAAAAGCTGAATTAATTTTACCCTTTGAGTACCGTCATTATAGACAATTAAAGAACAACAGGTTGCGGTCACCGGTGTCCTTGCAGTGTTTGACAGTTTAAACATACAAATCTTAAATGACCACTGACTATAACTTTGAATATTTCACAATTCTTCCTTACTATATTTTATACTACAGTTGAAAGTTTACTGATGATTGAAAAATCGGCCCATGTACACTTTATATTGTACCAAAATAATTGTTCGTGTTTTCTTAACAAGCCTAAAAAAATTACTTTTAAACCTCTCATTTACTAAGTTTTCTGTATTAGGCCTGTACCATACTATTGGTTGATAACCAAGGAGGTTAGTATGTTAATATAGTTACGAGTTAACTTCAAGGTGAAGCCACATTTTTGTCACTAAATATGCTAATATTAGGGTTATCCAGTTACCTAATGATAAAAAAGCTTTTCTTGTTGGTTCATGGAATTTTTATGGTAAAATAACCGTGCCGTCTAAAAAACTAGTGGATTTTAGATTAGGCCCTTAGTTTGAATTGAAAGGTACACTGTTAATTTTTTTTTAAGTAATTTTTACAGTGTCTGCTAGTACCATTAACAACATGAATTCAAGTTACTAATTTTAAATATTACAACAATTAATAAACCAGTTCAGATTAGCAAAATAATCTTCTAAAAAAACAACACCTCATAAAAACACACAACAAAAGAAAAAACAAAAAAAAATTTTTTTCTTTACCCTGCCTATGAGCTCGAAGTAATCCATATTTGTCGCCCACATGTCAAAGTGTCATTTACCTCATGAATTTACGATAACTAAGGTTTATTTGTATGTGTGCGGGTTGCGTATATTTTATGTAAATTGGTATTGATTTTTGTATCTCTTTTACAATCGTTTTCTTAAAACTTGTTTGTGTCTTGTGTAATGTATGTTGCATCAGTTTAGCAGATGTTGCATTTCATATCTTTATAATTAATGGAACATTGTCATGTTTAACGTTTGAAGAGGTAGGCAGTTGTGTGCTCTTGTACCCACATATTTCATACAAGCTACTTCCGCGCGGTTTCACACGCTCTGCTCAGCTCCTATTGGTCGTAGCGTGATGTTTTATAGCCTATAACCATCCTCGATAAATGCGCTATCCAACACAAAAAGAGTTATTCAAATCAGACTTGTAGTTACGGAGATTAGCGCGTTCAAACAAACAAACAAACAAAAAAACAAACTCTTCCGCTCCTATAATAGTATAAGATATAAGATTCCACGAAAGTATTAGACACTAAATAAACAAATGAATGATATTTTCTTATTTACTTATTTATTATTTATGTACACACATACAACACAAAGGACAACACATATATAAAAACGAGGTACATATCTCCTACATATTTCAACTCGAATTTCTTCCTGTGGGCCTGGGGCGGGAAAAGAAATAACGGCATCGAGACACAGCGAGTTACACAAAAAGGATAAAAAAAAATTAAAAACGAATAAATTAAAAAAATAACAATATTGATAAATAAAATAAACCAATACAATACAACAATACAATGCAATAAAATACTAAAACCCCTTTGTGGTTCGAAACTAATAGAGCTTTTCTCTCTCAGTATTTTCACGCGAGTAATCCCATTTTTCGTCGTGGTGGCCCGGAGGTTTAAGACGCCCACTTCTCATGCATGAGGGTGCGGGTTCGAAACCTACCAACGGCAAGTACCAATGTGACTTTTTCCGAGTTATATGTACTTTCTAAGATTATTTAGACACCACTGACAAACGGTAAAGGAAAAACATCGTGAGGAAACCTGGAATTATAAATTCTAATTATAAGTTTGAAATCGCCAACCCGCATTGAGCAAGCGTGGTGATTAATGTTCTAACCTTCTCCGTGTGAGGAGAGTTCAGCAGTGGGCATTTATAGGCTGTTGATGAATCCCATTTTTAGTTAACGTAATTAGCATGTAAATAAACAAAACTATTTAAGTAGATCCATGTGTAGGAGTTATTTATAGAACGTTGATCTTACTCTCACTGTCTGTTTCGTAAAATGCTATTGTTTTAATTTTGGCAACTGTTTATAAGTTATAATTAGATATTATTGTATACCAATGTATGGAATAATATGTATCAAATGGTGATAATCTAATATTATTCATCCGATGTGGGAAAAGTGTTAGTCGTGCTAGTGTTTTTATTGAATACTAGGTTTTGCCCGCGGCTTCGCGTTCCCGTAAAATAAGAATAGCCTATGTGTCCTAACCAGGGTGCTTACTCTTGAAACCAATCTCAATGTCAATGCAATTTCAATCCAATAAAATCTCAATAATTATCCAATGTCAAAACTATACAACCCCTATCGTAGCTGCAAAAGTAGCATTCAGAGTACGGAATATAAAACCAAACTCAATACCATTTAGTTCATGAAGTATCCACGCAATACGGATGCAAAAGGCGCTAGTGTTACAACTCAAGAGTACGAAATTTCACAATGTCAATGTCGATCGATCGGAATTGGATTCAAGAGTAAGCACCCAGATCTTGACGTGATTGAGTATAAAACATACAAACTTCCCCATTTATATAATTATTAGTAAGACACATTTATTATATTAGTTTCCAATATTACAAGAAATTACTTCAATCACTTTAACAGATTTTCAACTTTATTACAAAACATTAAACTTGATTATCTAATAACTA